AATGCCGTTGGTACGGGTAATTACCTTTGTCAGACAGAGCCCACAGCTTTGTCCTTGAGATTCCTGTGCTCTATGCCTGGAAAATATTTCTTGTGGTCAAATCCCCATTTCCATTTCAAGATCTCGTCTATATTTTCATCTGTTGCTTCGACTAACAATTCCCCAGAATTTCTACTGGTTGTGGCAGTTCTGGGACTTGGCCAAGGGCTCGGGCAGGGGTTAGTTAGCCATGGCATGCCTTCTCCTTGGCAAGTGAAGCTGAATACCAAGAATCGTTTGATAAAGCAGTCAATCAAAATGAAAATACTAGCTCCATGACTGCAGTGCCCGGAGAATCAGGAAAACAGAAATTCCTTTAAAACCCTTCATTCAGAGATTTGCAACTTGGCTAAAAGCATGGCTGTAGGCTAGGAGAAATGTCCTCTCCCAGGCAGCCCTGCTCTAGCTCTGGCACTGCCCCATGGACTGAGCCGTGGTGTGTCTCTGTGTGATGCACGGAGCCTGAGAAGAGGAGGAGGTTTCAGAAGAGCTGGCTGTGACCTGACACAACAGAGCAGAGGGATGAGCACTTCATCTCCCCATTTCCTGTGTCTCTAACAAGGCTTGACTCTACACCAATTCCAGAAGAGCCTGTCTGTGCTGAACATGCCTCACAAACGGAGACCCAGATTCAACTGAGCACAGCCTGAGGAATCCAGTGCTGCACATGGCCATAGGAACAAAATATAAACCTGGAGTGGCCCACTCAGCATTATGTCAGGTGAAAAAAAGCTTGGGGACATTAAAGGGATCATCCTTTATTGTCTTTAAAGTTTATGAGCCATGGTTTCTGTTATTTGTTGGTGTGTTTTTCACAAATCTCAGAGGCTGCCAACTGGAATACGTTTAGCAGTTTTTTCTTGTTGAAATCAATGGTATCGTTCAATGAATTTCTACTACGTAATACATGGATTCCTGAGAAAAGGATTGCCTCAGTTTTAAATAAGAGAATTCCAGTTAAGCATTGCTAATAGCAAATGCCTTACAGTATACTATTTTCAAAGAATCACTAGAATCCTCAATCTGAAGCAGATCTCAGCTACAGTTTAGAGAGATGAGTATGCAAATACCAGGATATTCATATTTTAATTGGAGGAATGTTGGGCAGTTAAATCATGTTGCTACTACACTTCTTGCCTAAGTTAAAACAGCTTTTCTGAGTTAAGTCTCTGCTTTGGTTTCAAAATACATTAGTTCTCCATTTACTGCTGCTTTTGTTATACCAATGAACCAGCAATGACTAAAGTACAGGGCATTTCCTTAGTATTAATGAGGCACAAACTGAGGATGCTGGAGAAATATCTGCAATGTGGCTGCTCTAGCCATTAGAAGGTGGAAATGGAAATCCATGGTGCTGGAGGCAGAATGAAGAGAGGGATTAATTATTCTACGCCTGACACATGTATGGCAATCTGATGGCTGGAACGATGAGGGATTCTGTACTCCTGTCAGAATCTGTGCAAACTGTAGCAAAAACGTTCTAATAAATAAATGATGGCTGTTTGATTTTCCTTTAGCAGCTGAGTAGCATTGACAACACGTAACTGGGTAAGTACTGCCAAACCTTCACGGGGAGCAGAGAACCCCGAGGAGGTTGGCCCAGCCTGAACTCTGCTCTGCTTCACTGCCCGCCAAAACCGCTAACCAGTGAATGCAAGCAACACAGGCATGTCAATGGGAACAGCAGTTAGAGACAGAATTGTAACTTATACTAACTAAAAAATGTATTTGTGTGCTCAGACGAATGGGATCGCGTACGGCTGTAAGGATCCTGACTTTACTAGGTTTTACTGAATGGCACAAAATTCCATTTCAAAGAAGTACCAAAGAACCAAAGATGTGATGAGCCTTTGTACGCACAAAGAAAGATGCACCGAAAGAAACACGTGGCAGTTAATCATTCATTCTTACTGTGCTGCAATTCGGGCTCACAGAGAATACCTGCACATGCCCCCAGCTTCATTCCCCTCCTGTTCAGGGCACAGCTCCAGAGAGCCCAGACAAACCAGTGCCATAATCAGCCCCACTGACACAGCAAGCCTTCTCTCAAGCATCTAGCTAAAACCAGCCTCCCAACCCTGGAGTACAGTTTCAAGCTCACGTAAGTCTCAACTACTTAACAAAACAATGAGAAATCTCATTAGTTCAGTATTTAAAGTCCAGTGTAAGTAACAGAAAACAAAGTTCACCTTTTATACCTAATACCAACCTTCTCTGGGAAAAGTCATTTCCCCATTGAGCCTCCTTCCTCTACCCTGCAATCACCTGCACCTTCCTGCTCCTGACTCATTCAGCACAGCACACTTGGATCTATGGCAATGTAGAAAATGTAAAAACCAATTCATAGGCACAAGAATGTTCAGTATCCCTCTTGCCATAAGCATCAATAGACAGATTTCTTCTGTAAACCCTAAGCCTGTGTTTCAGAGTGATCTTTCAAAGACGTCAAAGTCCTTTGAAATATTATTTTCTCTTAAAAAAATGTTTAACATTATCGACACCCATAATGTTTAGATCACTAAATCTGATCGCTTCCAAAAAAAGTCTAGTATGATTCTAAAGATCTTCATCCTCAAGTCAAGTGAAAATGCAGAAATCGTTACGCTCAATTCAACCAGACCAATCTTGTCTTGGAAGATTCCCACCTGAGAGAGTGGCTGAGAGGTGATATGAAAGAACAGCTTCATCATGGTGAGAGGAGAAAACCGCCCAAAATTACCTGTGCTCAAAGCACAAATTCAGCTGCAGACATCTTACCAGCACGAGGTTCTGAAATAGCGATGTATGTTTTGGCAAAACTTGGCGTTTATCTATGGAAGTGTTGATAAATCAGGGTGTATTTAGGATCTACCCTGCTGGGAATCAAGAATTCAAAAGCCAATATCATGGCTTGGGATTAGTGAGGAAGTGTGATGGCAATGGAATGGTCTGATCCTTGCCCCACAGGAACAGAGGTGAGCCCTGAGCTGACCCTGGAGAGCAGCCGGCCTGGGAAGAGAAAATGCTCCTGCACGAATGATGCCAACGTATTTATTGCTACAGGAGAGATCAGCAGTCCACTAATATTACTGTCAGGGAAAGCATCATAATGACACATTCTGTATTTTCATTTGCTGCTTGTCTCTGCCTCCAACAGATTTGTTATTTTTATAACAGAGATCTTGCTTATTATTGTGTTGGGAAAAAAAATAATCTAAAAATGCCCATTTTACCCTGCTTGTCAGTTCTATGAACACATTTAGTTTCTGGATGAGGAGTTTAAAAATAACTTCTATTAAATAAGCTAAGATAGTAGTCTGTGAAAACAAGCTCTTGTTTTATGTAAATTAGGAATGCAGGAAAAAAAAAAAAGCCATCAGCAGGAACGCAAAAGCTTAGAACAAGATCTGCATTATTCTTTTCATAGCAGTCTGATAAAATGCAACTTTACAACAGTGATCGATGCTGAGGCTCCCCTGAAGTCTAATGACAGGGGTAATTTACTGAATAACAGAATTCCTGAGTATAATTATGTTTTAAAAATCTGAAGATGCAATGGGCAGACTTGACTCTGGTACAGCTCAGTAAAGTGCACTTCTCTTAACTCTGCTCTGACACACACTTACAAAGGAGATTAAAAAATTAATTGGAGGGGTTTCTTGAAAAAAATATTCTTTTTACTTCGTTTTTTTCCAATGTTTTGGAGGAAACAAGATGTAAAATTACTTCCCTTTTACATGTTACTGTTCCAAAGTCTGAAAACTTTGTATAACCTACTAATAATTCTGCTTTCCATGCCATTGGTGAATCTCGTATCTGACATTCCTTTCTCCTTTAAAAACATCAAAATTATTAACTGGTTTGATGTCAACCTGGGCAAAATATGCCCTATGAAAACAGAGCTTACTTTCTTTCCTTACATCGTTTGAGTCCCTGTGTTGGCTTGGCTCTCCTGCAAGCAGAAAGTATTCTTGCTAATTTATCAAAGCAGTGTTCGTTGGCAAGATTTAACAGTAATTAACAGGGCACTGTGGGCACTACTGTCCACAAAATACACAAATTATTAAGGCAGGTCATTGGAATACAGCTTACAGGAGTTCTACAATGAGAGCTCAGTTTATACTCAGAGAAGGGTATCTCATGCCATTTCAGTTATCTGTCATGTTTGGTTTTGAAAACAAGAACAACAGAAAAATACTGGACAACAAAAATGGGCCAAATGAATATCTTTTATCCTCCCAGTCATTATGTTCATACCTACAATATTATGAAACTGCGCATTGAAAGTTCTCTATCATAACACTAGATCCTTTGAAAAAGCTACTCTGGGGGAAAAGCAAGCATTAACATTGCCCTGATTTCTACCCACAAGAATTGGCAGCACTGAGCAACTGGTCATCAGGCTCTTGGTGTACGGATCAGTCAACTTTGGTGTACGGATCAGTCACAATAGTTTTGAGGCTCTAAACAATCCATGTTCTTGTCTATAGCTGTGTACGACTACATTTATTCCTGTGTATCAAATAGGGCTGCTTTCACGCAACATTACCCATGTGCTTAATCATTTATGGTACTGAAACATAGTATCACTCAGCTTTAAGACCTTCTGGTCTATAATTTACTTCTATGATAGCAAAGCTTTATTTTTTGTGTGTCAATATAGCTAACTATACATAAGGCTTTGGTTTGGGGGTTTTATTAAACGTTTTGCAAGATGTAACTTCTATACCCTGTATGAGTGTTCTCATGTAGCTCTTCAAAACCTGTACTACTCATTATTCATTCAAAAAAAAAAATTGCAGTTTTGAAAACTAAAAGAAATTGAATTTCAGCAGAAATCAAGTTTTCTATGAAAAATTCTGTAACTTCAAAATCCACTGTGTTTTACTTCTTACTGAATTATATACAGTTTCCACCACACACTCTGTTAAAATTAATTATAAAACTGACAGAACTAAAAGTCAGGACACGCAAATACTTACTAGTTTCTGTAGCTACGATAGTTATGTTGTGCCACGTATTTGTTTCCCTGTCCAGGGGTGTTGCCAAGGTTATTTTCCCATCTTCTGCATTAATGTTGAACTGTCTCTCAAGGTCAGTGTGTCGATCGATGGAGAACCTACAAAACAGACATCCCTGTGATCCACTCCACGACGCTGGCGTAATCCAGACCATCACAAGACAATTTAGGGAGCCCTCTGAGAGCTGCAGTTTTGCAGCCAAATGGATGGAGAGGCTCAATAGCATAATCATTTATAAGACAAAATGACAAACTGAGACTAAAAAAACTTATTAATTATTGCCCAAGGAGTAATTAGCTGTATACCCAGTGTGAAGGTCATAAAATGCCCTCAGGTTCACTGGGTAACATCTTTGAAAAACGGTGCTGATCAAGAGTTAATTACACAATCCATCACATTTATTAGACAGTTTCTATGGTATTTCACAGTAACTGCTGATAATTTCAACAGTAATGTATTAAGCACACAAAAATGGTGGGCTTCATGGTTATTTTAAAAAGGGCTGAATAATATTATTTTACCAATAAATTTCGGATTAATGAAGCATGAGCTATTCACCAAGCACATTATTTGGTTATGGTTCAAGCAGCTCCACGGGCAGGACGCAGTTAGCGAATCACCATTTTCCTATAAAACACTTCAAAACGCTGAAGGACTGATTGTTTCATGGATTGACATCACTGATTTTTACCGAAACCATGTCTCATCTGACAGGTAGCCAGAGTTTGCAAATGAGACTGTCCAGGCAAATTATGCAGCTTGAAGAGAGCCAGGCTGACAACAAGAGCGAGCTGCAGTAGATTGCTCCAGCAGTGCATTAAGCGGGATGATGATTTAAAGCTCAGAACAGGATCTCCAGGAAAGCTTTTATGTTTGTCCATTTTCAGAGTGATTCTATTAATGTACTATTCGCCCAAAAGAAATTAAATCACAAAATTAAGCCTTCCAGTTTTTTGACAGGAAAGGTACAGAACGAGAGAGTTTAGTGATAAACTATTGATACGGTTCAACAAAAATTGACTTCAAGGGGTTTTACTGAATCCTAATTGTGGATTTATACAAACGTCTTTCAAGCCTTTGTGTCTACGTACTACAGAACCTAACAGCACCCACTGACAGTTTTTACATCTGTTCTGCATTATATTGAGGCATAATGGGGCGAGTTGGGATCCAGCACCAGCCTGGACTACATTAGAGAGTGGTCAGAAAAGTGACTCAGACTCTCGGTTTCTCATTACATTTTTACTTTTTGCAAGTATGCTGTTAAATTCACTGAGAAAAGAACGGGAGCATATTGTGCTACAGTGACAATGGCAGAGTTATCTGGAAATCAGTTATTCCATTCTGGTTTATGTTTCATTATAAGCAATTTCTAAAAAAAAAAAGTTCTGATTCAGAAGTTCCGTTATATGCTACAACAGACAGATTCTGCTGAACTCAACCTCGTGCCAGCACAACACAATCCATTCTGACAGACACAGCATTAGGATCTGATTTCAAAGCTTAGGATTATGGCTTTTGTCTTTTTTATTTCAGATATTTTCATATTTAGAACAACAGATACATTGCAATTAGATTGCTTGTGCAATGCATTCAGTAAGATACAATTCACTTCCAAAAAATCAGCTCTAGATTATGAAAATTTATCAAAATTTTAAAGTTTAAACATTTAAAGATTGCATTACTGAAGATCAAGGCTGGCATGATCACATTAGTAAGGTACTTAACAACTAATGGACTTAGGAGTAAAAGCCCCTGTTTAACTAGGAAATGCAATTCATTAGACATTTAAGTTTTCTGTTTTTAAAGTCTGAGAACTAGTTTTACTGTGCTACAGTGACAATGGCAGAGTTATCTGGAAATCAGTTATTCCATTCTGGTTTATGTTTCATTATAAGCAATTTCTAAAAAAAAAAAGTTCTGATTCAGAAGTTCCGTTATATGCTACAACAGACAGATTCTGCTGAACTCAACCTCGTGCCAGCAGAACACAATCCATTCTGACAGACACAGCATTAGGATCTGATTTCAAAGCTTAGGATTATGGCTTTTGTCTTTTTTATTTCAGATATTTTCATATTTAGAACAACAGATACATTGCAATTAGATTGCTTGTGCAATGCATTCAGTAAGATACAATTCACTTCCAAAAAATCAGCTCTAGATTATGAAAATTTATCAAAATTTTAAAGTTTAAACATTTAAAGATTGTATTACTGAAGATCAAGGCTGGCACGATCACATTAGTAAGGTACTTAACAACTAATGGACTTATGAGTAAAAGCCCCTGTTTAACTAGGAAATGCAATTCATTAGACATTTAAGTTTCATTAGACATTTTAGTTTTGCTCACTTAAAAATGAATAGTTTGGTTAAGAAGAGTACCACCAGAAAAAAATATGAAGTAAAATTCCAAATATATGTGCCTAGAGCTAGGCACACACATTTATATTTGGACATTTAAGTAAACTGATTTTCTAGTGAGCTCCACATCCCCAGTTCTCAATGGTTTAATGGCAATCGGACTGTCCTCAGCATTTCTGAGAATCAGGTCACTGGTGTGGAAGAGTAATGCTGGGGGTGCCTACCTTCAGGCAATAATTGCTCAAAATGTATCTTACCCTTATTTTTATGTCTCCCTAGTTCAAATTAAAGTATTAGAAGTAAAATTCTGGTACAATGAAGCTAGTAAAAAATATCTTACAGACTTTCACAGATTTAAGATTTCACTCAAGAAAATACCAGAAAGAGAGCAATCAAGATAACTTGAAGATGCCATCTCTTAAAACTACCTTTTAATTCTTCATGTTTATGTAATGATGCAGAAAGAACTCTTTTGATATCAAACATTTATGACATTTTTGCAGTTCACAAACGAAATAAAGTATGAAATACTCATATACTATTTAATGTTTAGTTGACCTCGGCTTGACATAAATTCCACTGAGACAAGACACAGGTTTTCTCTAAGGATCTATCCTTTTTTAAACTTCCACTCTTCCAGCCTTCCTGCAGTACATTTTTTGAAGTTATAAAACTGGGAGCGTAACATCTGTGAGTTTATTGTATTGCACTTCATCTCATCCCAACAGCATTTATTCACAATGCAAACCCAGTATTCAAAATGGAACATTTCTGACATAAGTTGCATGGCTTTACAAGACTATAAGGAGCTAAAACCCTCTCCTGATTTTAATTTGAAAAATATTTGGTACAAGATAAAAAAAATAAAATCTGTATTGTCATAAACCTGGAAAAACTAATAGTACATTTGCAGTTTCCTTTTAATGATAATGGTATTGTAACTCTCTTTAATGGGAATGCATTGTCAGATCCATAAGCTGTACATAAAACACACACTTCTCTAAAAATGAGGAAAGAATATCTTGGGAAATAATATCTTTTGAAATTGCCATAAAGCCAGCACAGGTTATTGGGAAGTTTTGGTAAGTTTATGGGTCTGCTATGGCAATTATAGGAACAATTCCACTGTGGTTTAATATAAGACTTAAAAGTATTCTCAGTCCTGCTGCTGCACTATTGGTATTGTTGCTATGACTTAATTTCATCTATTCTTTATTTGCACCAATGTAAATAAGAGCAGAAATCCTTTTTTTTGTGCACCTGCTGAGATTGGAATCACGGTTCTGATACCTCACCAGTGGTAAATCACCATTGTTTGTTAATGCCAGGCAGATTGGACATGCTACTTAGTGACAGCTAAACAGCTGTACCATTAGGGAGGCAGAAAATATCCTATCTAGGTTTTTAAGGCCTGCTGTGAATTAAGAAAATGATCAACTGCTGCCAAAGATGAAATCTCTGTCGATATGAATGGGGAAAACCTGCCACGGTGAAGCTTATCTCTCCTCAGAGAAAGACACTGAAGGGCAGTGATTTATAGGAGGGCAGAGACAGTACAGGAAGAACAATTATTACCCATGCTTTTTTCCATGCACTTGGATCATGCTTTATCCAAGATAATTCACTGCAGTTAAACAGACCATGGTTATAAAATAACAACAAAACCATGAAATAAGTACTGTTGGAATCAACAGATTTGAATGCCAATAGATAATCATCTTTGAAGTCAAATTATATTATAAATGAGTATATACCACCTTTTCTAAATGAACTACAGTAAAGCTTTACATCCTACAGTAAAGCTGGATTCACTGGGTCCCCTTCCCAGGAGATGCACGTGGTGTAGACGTGGCAGGATGTGAGCCCCTGCCGTGTGCTGCTGCAATGCCTAGGCCAGAATGAGACAAACTACTGACCGTATTGACAATTACCAGCCAAATTCCTCAATCCTTTTCACCAGCAGGCTTAGAAGCCAGCCAGGCCCTTAAGCAACATGCACAGCAGAATAGCAAATGAAGATAAAATAGAAGTTTTGCTGCTTATTTTACAAATGCTGGGTTATGAAGGACATACTATAGTTAGGCTAACATAACAACTGATGGGAAGAGATAGTTCATTTTCTTTGGAGAAATGGATAACGAAAGCGTAATTCAGCTGACTCTCATGTCATCCCTCAGCCATTCAAGGGTGCCTTTGCTTATCCACAATTAGGACTCAACAACAATGAGAAAAGTCCCACACAACACATGCATCCTTCAGTCCCATCCTTCTAAATGTGTCTAAACTTCTTTGGTTGGCACAGAGATTTCCGACCAACAACCAGTGCCCCATTTCTGTGTGTGACACAAGTCACTGCAAATAACCCTCGTCAGGTATTTCCTTGAGGTGGGCACTTCTGGAACCAGCCTGGTGACCCATCCATGCATCTGCCTGTAGTTCTCTGATAGGCTTCATGCCTTTTACATCAAGTGATGGAAAGATCAGAGAACACGTTTCATCTCTTCTAAGCAAGCATAAAAACCAAAGTACTGTTGTATCAGACACAAATAAGGTTAAACTTTTGTGGTTTTTTTTTTTAAAACAAACATAGAAGTTCCTTTCCAGGCTGTTTTCTGTAATAATTTTTCTACATTCTTTAACCTTTTGTCTCATGACTATTTCTATGTTTAGAGATATCCAAGTTTTATTTCACTTATGGACCTGCAACACTGACTTTACTGAGTCTCTGTGCAGCTGGTGTGGTATTGGCTGCACAGAAGGTGACTCATATTTTCCTTTGTGTTGCTAGGGTTTTTGTAACAAACGTACACAAAAACTCTGTCTAACCAAAATCTTGATAGAACAGAGATCTACTGAAAAATATAATTTCCTTGAAATGCAATTGGTCATTGTCTCCTAAAACTTTGTTTTAAAGAGAAAAAATACATTAAAAATGGCCAGGCAGTATTAAACCACTCTGTCATTTTTAGAACGGAATGTCTCAATTCTGGTTTTCTATTTTTTAACTGATGTTTAATATTTTTGAAAGTATAACATAGAACATATATATAAAATTTACATCATATACAAGATAAAATAAAAGAATAAACACATAAAATGCAAAATCAGAATGAGACATTCCAATCCAACAAAACAATGTTCCCACGCAGTTTTGTTAGAACCTGCCATGTTCCAGTTTTCTTCCAAATTGGAAAGAAAGTAACTGCATTTCTGCTTCCTGTTTGTCTCTGATGAATATTTTTCCTCCTCTAACAGTAGAATTACTGACTTGAAATCTTTTTCGCCTTAAAATTCTTTTCATGCGAAAAATGAGAACAAGGAATTTGGACTTAGCAGAGGTACTGCAGATACAGCCAAATCAACCAGGTGAGAAAAGAAAAAAAACCACTGCATAGAAAATGGAACTCTAAATATTCCTTAATTAGCTATCAAGCCAATATTGTAGAAAAATTAAATCTTATAAAGTACGGCATATAATATTTTAAAAGAAGATATAAATCACCCTAATTAATTACATTTTTGTTTAAGTGTAATGAATTCTGGCCAATTCTGTTTCATGTATATCAATTGTTTCAATATGATTTGATAAGTAATAACATTCCAATGCAGTTTGCACATATAAAATATTTTTGCTTTTAAATGTTTGAAGATATCTTATCTATAAAATGATGAAAAAATGGAAATGAAGTAAATGTTTTACTCAGTTCAGTTTTTCAGGCTTGGACAGAATAAAGAGGCTGGATTTTAGGACACAGGTAGGCTTGTAGCCAGTCCAAATGATGAGGAGTTTGGGGCAGGGCTAGAAAAGAATTCCAGGGCAACAGAACCAGACTAAAAAACAGCCAGGGTAAAACCCAAGCAGAATTGAAGCCAGGCTGAGAGAAGGAACAAAGGGGACACAATCAAGAGGCAGAGGGAGCACAGGAGCCAGCCAAGAGCAGAGCAGAACAGGGCAGAGGGAAGGAACTAAGGTTAAATTGAAAGAGAAATTACTATTGAACTGGAGGAAAGGGAAGAAAGCCAACTTGCTGCCACCACGGCTGGTTTCACACACCTTTCAGAAGACCCTGTCTCTGTAGCAGCAGCACAAGCCCTTTTTCCAGATGCCAGAGGCCAGCAGTAACAAAATTAGGGGTGGAACCACTGCTTAAATTGTGATAGATCAAAATCTGAGCATTTTATATTTCTTTTTTTGTTTAAGTACAATTTTTCGGACCTGGGTAACTCCCCTCATTTTCCCATTTCTATGATCAGATTACCATCTTTGATCACCCTGGCAGCTTCTCTGGTAAGAAAATAAATTCAGTGTCTGTTAACACTGTCTGGGTTCTGTGCTGCAGTAGAAAATGTATTAATCAATTAATTTGTATAGAAATCAGTGATAGTTAGTGCTACATTTAGCTAGTTTGAAAGTATGATTTAGAAATGTGAGACTCCAACGTACGTTCCAACAACTTCATACACAAGTTCTAACACATCCAAAGTTGTTGGAAATTTTGAAACTCTAATTGTAAAAACACTAAAATATGATCTGCAACCCTAAATAAAAGTTTTAAGTCTGACTCTGCAACAAGCCTGATGTGATGGTGATAAGAAAATAGCCTTGAAGACTGCTAGTGTAGCTTAAATTCCCCAAGGCAGTTATGTACAGTCATGATTATTATTAAATAGACTCTCTCCAAATACACCTTTACTATGAATTTGACATTTTGGTGTTTGTTTTCATAACGCTTTTGTTACTACACACAGCAAAATGTGTTTTGGGAACACTCGCATCATACCATTATAACCACTGAAAGGGGGAGGGGAAGATGTGTGCTCCTCAAAATGAGACAGAAAACATTGATTTGATGAAAGTGGAATAACAGATTTTGTTCAAGTTAAATCAAAAAAGGAAAGCATTGTAAATCGAAGATGCAAAAGTCAGATGGGCATAATCATCTCTGACTTTCTATCTTTAAACCAGGAATGGGTTTAGCCAAAGGAATACAAAATATATTTTGACAACCTTACAACTACATGGAACAAACTGAGTATTGTTAGTGCAGAAAGTAGCAGATTATTTAAAATAACTGCAGAGATACACACTGATGACTCAACCCCATCAGACCTCACACACCCTATTTCTTATGCTCATTGCATTCCTGCTGTTTCACAAGACTACTCATGTGGCAAGGAATACTTTGGTGATTTTGAAAATGATCTAAACGAATAAGACCAACATCATAAAACAAATTCTAGACAAGTATTTTTATAGAAATAAATTGGGATGAGAGCAGTGTCATACAATGTATGGGAAAGCACTCTGCCAGCAGTTTTTTCAGAGAGAACTTTAAAGCAGCAGTACCTTATGGGACTGGAAGACGCGTCGGGGTCATGGGCGGTCACTTGACCAATCACAGCGTTAATAGCAGCATTTTCATGCACTTCCAGTAGGTAGGTGGGTGATGAAAAGACTGGTGGCTCATCAGCATCCTCTACTACAATTTTTACTGTTGCTGTATCCTTGAATGGTCCCCCACTGATGAAGCGAGGATCAATATGAATGTTGGCTGCTTCTACCTTCAGAGTATAGGATTTTTTGGTCTCAAAGTCCAGTGGCTGTTAAGAATGACAAAGATAAATGTCTTTTAGTAATGGCCACAGAGAAAGAACAAATGAATATAATGCTGATGGATGAAAGTTATGTGCATTTAAGCACATTCAGTGAGTTTTAATGCAATCACTTCCCACTCCCAGAAATCCAACCTGCAATTTTTCTAGGCATATATTGATATCTGTTCATTAACCAGCCTCAGAGAAAACAAGGCTCTTTGTTTTCTTGCTTTTCACAAGAAATTTACCAAAACATTCTCTCTCATGAATTATATCATTACAATTACATAACAGATAAATACTACAAATTTGTTGGCAATGCCACAACTTGCATACTAATCACGCACTTAATCAGTGCTTTGTTAGTTGGAGATAAGAAAAAAAAAATACTAGCTCCACAAATAATAAATATTTTATTACTTCCAGAACAATGTGAGAAATGCAAAGAACTAGCAATTATTATTTCTTGGACACGAGAGGCATTATGTGGAAAAATGTAGAGCTAATCATATAAGAAAGTACTTGGATATTATTGCACTTCAGGTAACTGCATTTCTGTTTATAGGGGTAAATGAGGTAGACATCTCTCAGGAATTTCTTAAAACTGTAGCAATTTCTATTTCTGCATTTTATTTTTTTTTCAGAGAGAGAAACACGAAACCGATTACTTTATTCTATCAATATACCTGCCCTGTCACCATTGGTTTCACTGCTTTACAGTTCCATATTAAAACATAAAAGATGAAAACACAGGGGATTTAAAGGAATGAAATACCGAATAAAACCCAAATCTGTGACACTTTCAAATATTAGAATTTTTCATTATAGGAGATTCAAGTTTGTGTCTTGAAGCACATCAGTATGTTCACTATATAATTCTCTTGTGTCTCACAATGATTCAAATTTCAAAGATGCAAATTGCCAAGTATTGGAAAGATATTAAGATTTGCATTACAATGTCCCAGGGATAAAAAGAAAAGGACATAGAAACTCTGAATCTGCAATGCAAATACCAGCAAGAGCACAAACAGGGACCTTCAGGAAGTCTGTCAAAGCCTTCAACATGTATACTTTCAAATTTTGTTGATTTTCTTCAGGTATGAATCAAGCTCTAGTGGGATTTGCTCCTTCTCACAAATTCTAGTAAACATGAGAAAACCTTGCTTTTTTAGCAGCTCTTAAATTAGTAAGCTTTTGTAATTATGAATGGTGATTTATAAATCAGCATATTCACAATTTGCCAATCATAGCTCCTATATAATTTTTTTTCAGCAGCTTTTCATATGCTTTACAGAAATGACAGCACCCCGATACATTTAGTCACGCTTAATCAGAATATCATATTGAAAATTTACTCTGCATTGTCTAAAGCCCAGGAATTTATGCTGGAGAAAATCTGTTGGTGAACAGTAGCCTCCATACATCATCTGCTGTAGTAGAACCAAAATGATTATTGCTGTCAAAATGAATATATGAAACAACATTATGTTAGAGACTCAGTTATGAAATAAAGCCAAGGGAACTGGGGCAAAAGGCTAATTGCCTGAGTTTACAAAAGAGGCCACAGCATACAATAAATAACAGCAAGGAAGATCAAGGATGTATATCATAATTTTCTCTTTAGGAAAACAAATCTCAATTTAGATAAATATACATCATTTTATTATGCATCTACAGTGCTGACCGAGCACTGAGAAACAGAAAATGGAAACTTTTGACAGGTACTCTGCCTGACCTCTTTCATTACAGGTACAAGTTGAATATTAATTACCTGTACTCACTGGAATGTAATGGTTTGGGTTTTTGGTTTTTGTGTTGGTTTTTTTTTAAAAAAAAGGAAAGAAAAATTCATTTAGAGTGCTCTACACTACATATTAAAAACCCTCTATGCCAGGATTGTAAGTTATATTCATATCCTTTTTCAGAACGCAGCATAAGAATTGGCTCTCTTCTTCCCCAGAAAACAATGAAAATTAAGTCTGCAATTAGCATGCAGAGACTTTACTAGCCAAGTTTTGCTCCAGATATGCTGTCTCTCCACATATTTCTGTACATATTGCTGTCTACATGCAAATACCTCATCTTGCATACATCAAGACTGTACAAGCACAGAAAAGGTAACAGATTTGCAGCTTCTTTAGGGGCCGAATTCGGCACTTCTCAGGTGAAACAGTACTGATGTCCTTGGTAAGGGTCCGTGAAATCACTACTCATTGAGCAGAGTTCAGCACAAGAAAATGTGGATGATTAAGCCTCTCACACATCAGGCAATTTAAATAATATGCTATGATTATTTTTTTCTCTCTGAACAGCATTTGACCAGCTATATGGCAAATCAAATAGTAGAGAAAAGTTATTTGATAGAATACTCAGCCAAGATTTTATGGAAGTATATACCACCAACAAAGCAAATTCTCATCTATTCTTCTCCTTTGGAAAGAAGGAGGCAAAACCTTTTGACTTGACCACATGGAAACCCAGATAAGATTAATACGTGCCCAGCACAGAAAATACTTCCATGGACATCTCTCCACTTGTCACCTAAATGGCAATTTTGAGGGACAGGGCTAATACATCCCTTTTTCACCACTTCACTGGCTTGACACCTCCTCCACAGATAAAAGAATCCTTGGAAATCTCACATCTTCTCACAGAGTACAGTCTGGCAGGGTATGTACAATAAACATTTAATTTTTTTTTTAACAGAGATATCATTTACCTTTCTCACTCTAATAATGCCGTCCTGAGTTTGGGCATCTGTGGTAATTTCAAATATATCCATTCCATCTCCTTCAATAATATCATAGGATGATTTAGCATTTTCTCCAATATCCAGGTCATTTGCTTTCACCCTTCCTATTGGTTCACCAAGAGCAACATCTTCCATTACTGAGAAGTGATACAGACCTTACAAACAAGAGGAAAAGACTAAACGTTACACCTGACTGCAGTACCCCTGGGGTGCTCCTCACTCGGTGATACTTCCCCAATGCAAACTTCGGAGATGTGCAACTGATACAAAGCACATTTACACAAGTTATTTACCAAAAGCAGCAAAACGTGTTCCTTAGGTAGGAATATTCAGTTCACTGTATGTGAATGTTCTTTTCATTACAGGAGTGTCCTGCTTCTTCCTTGCAGGGATGCTTAGTGTTGGCAAACATCAATATTAAGCTACTTTTGACACTGAAAATTTGCAACGTTCTCTACTGCAGGCACCGTTGAACTTACCATTTTATTTACAGACGTGTACTTATATTTTTTATAGACTTCAACTGTGAAACTTTGCTTTTACTCTGTAGAAAACTAGTCTAATACTTTAAAGATGCCTTATACAATTTCGGTTCTTAATTACTTTTTTGGCCCTTCTAATTTGGTTTGGTTTGGTTTTTTAGCCCCTTCCACCTCCATTTTGTGAGAAGAAACTAATTAAGAAACATTCAAGGAAACTCCCGATATTTATATTTTAAAGGAAACAATAACTTTTCATAGTGATCATTACTGTATTTACTATTTGGTTGCAGGCTTACACTAAAACCCTTTAGAAAGCGCTATTCAAATTGTCAATATTTTTATTTTCTGTAATATTTGCTTCAGAAACCTTCTAAACTAAATGTCAAAAATCTATTTAGAACTTGCAATATATTATTTAGGTAAAGATTTTATTAAGAAAAAAATCAAAATACCCATTTTACTGCTATGTCTCCCAGTTCTTAATAGTATTATGAAAAACAGAAGATACGCACATGCTTTAGCTCAAACAGTCTTTGTTGGATGCCTATTTTTTTACCTCTTGGTAACTTACACTTATTGAAGCTACAGTTAATACGTGATCTAATTAACTGCAGTGCTACTTAGTAATTAAATTAGTCAAAAGGAATTCAAGGTTAGCAGACAAGACCTTTAAAATAGTTTTTGACAAAGGGTTCTGGATGTGTTCTTTCCTGTCCTCACAGCTGTTCTAAGACAATGTGTGATTTTTACTTTTACAACTGAAACCTACTGGTTTGAGTAGCTTTCTAAAAGCAATATGTTCTGGAGTTGTTGCTTTAACTGTTTGCAGGCTGATTGCATTATAACAGTTAAAAGTAGGAAGGAAACTGGGAGGAATGCACAAATACATATATTAGCTATACATTCTGTCTGTCCCAAAGTGAAAGATTTTTTTTTTCTGCAATGTTTCCAGGCTAAATTATTAGAGATAATTTGGAGATCATCAAGATTCCTCAAGAATATCCATAATGGCTCACAAACAATGAGCAGCCAAAGCAATCAAGTGCCTCAGGAGACTAAATTATGTGTTCATAATTTATACTGCTGTCCACACTTTGTGGTTTGAATCTCCAGACACAGTTGATTGCATTTTTAAGTTGGTATTTTTCTCTCAGATTTATTAAGATAGTTTACAAAATATTGTAAAAAAAAAATTATTAGGATGCAGCTGACTCTTTTACACAAATTGCTCTCGAGAATTATGAATGGCCCTGTCAAGAAGTCCTAGCACAGAGCTATGACATGGCAAAAATCCACATTACGTGTCTTTGAAAACCCTTGGTTTTCACAGCAGCTCACAGTTCTTCTCAGTATGACTGCACGGTAAACTGCCAGGTTAAAAAACTTCTGTGACTTACAAAATGCCTCTAAAATTATTTCAAAGAGATCATAGAAGTAGTGAAAGTTCATCTTTTTCATTTCTAAAACCCAGGAGGCTAACACTCTTTGAAATCAAACCATAAATATACATTTCTGTCCTGCCTGGAAACAATAAACCGGTAAAACACACTGCTTTCTGAGTTCATTACAATTTATTGTGAAAGCAGCATGTATTACATCTTATGAATTTCTATTTCATTTTCGTTAGGCTCTATTGTAAGTTTGATCCTTTCTTATTTTCCTTTCCAGGCAAATGCAAACTGTGCTTCAACGGTGTGAAAAAAAAAAATAAAAAAAGTCAAAGACTTGATCAGCTCCTGTATAAGGCCAGAGTCATGACTAATCCGTAATGCTAGGCAGCAGGCTATGAATAGTTACTTTGAAAAGGCAGAATTTGTAATAACATCCGGTTAAAATACTTACGATGGCTCAAATTCATTAAATGCAATATGTATATAAAATACAAAGTTATAGTAGATGCAGTTTTTCTCCAACGGTAATGGTCAGTGTTATAACAGGGTGTTTATTCCTAAATGGTACCTTGAATTCTGCACTGGGATGTGCCAGCTCTAACAGCTTCAAAGACAGCAACTCACTCTTTGTTGAAGGAAAACTAATCTATGTTGTCCATGTGGAAAATCTATCTCAGGGATCTGTGCTGCAGTTTTCCTCCCGTGTGGAGGAGCACAGGGAAAGGGCACTTCCATCTCCCCACGCATCCACTCCTCTGCTTTCTGCCCAGGTCACCAGCAAACCCACCAGTCAGGACCAGTTGTGTGGCTGATTTTCTCATCTGCTTTTTTCACACTGGCAGGCAAAGGCTTTTTGAGGCCGAAAGCGGTGATGCAAACACAAAGGCCAGGTAAAGCTGGTGAAAGCAGACGTGTATTGACAGGGTCAGAGCTGGAGCAGGCTCAGGTATGAAAGAAATGGCTCCCTGCATTCTGCTGATAGGGTTCAGCCAGGACTCTCCTCTATAGACCTTTATGTTATTAGGGAAACTGGCATCCTACGTTGGAAAACACCGCTGCACGAGTGCAAGCAACACAATGGGATATAGGGTAAAAAATTGATGCATTTTTTTATTTTGTAATGAGAAAAGCTTTTATTGTGCACAGAGTGCTTATCTGTTAAAAACCACTAAGATGAGGTAACAAAATATATATTTTGCAAATAAGCTTTTACCTCTACTTATTTATTTTATATTTTTTCTCTCTATCTGCATATGAATTTTATAGACTACAGGAGAGTATTCATCGCATGCTGAGTACTAGGACAAACCCATTTTACTCTTTGTGTCTCCAGAACAGGGCAAAAGTGGATTTCAAGTCATACATACGTGGAAAAGAATTAATTTTACCTTGGGTGCACAAGTATCTTGTCAGAAAAACTGTTTCTAATAAAGTAAAAATGACACAAAGTCTAGATGTGAACATTCTCCAACTCCAAAAAGACTCCTAATACCTTACAACTTTAGTTTTTCAGAACAATCTGGATAAAAAAATAACTTTCTAACAGTGGATTAGATTGCACCTGTGCCAAATAAAATTGATCCAGTCATTATGCTCTTCCCTCCTCTTTTTTCTCTTTCTCTTCATCTTTGAAATAGACTACAAAGCTTGTAGAGAATCTCAGCAGGATGGCAAATCATTTTAACCTAACCCAGCAAGACATCCATTGGAACCACAGTAGTAAATATGGATTTTGAATTAAAGATCAACAATTATCTAGACTCAGACTTATCGTCTTTGTTTTCTTCACCATTACCTAATTAGTCAAACCTTTATTACTTTTATCAGTTATATATGTCTTTTACTGGTGGTGTCACTTGCCTGCATGAGATGGAAGCACATCCAACAGCAACTAAAACTAGCATGTAGAAACAACTGCACTGAATGTAAATAAATATATGGAAAAAAAAGTCTCCAAATTATTTTTGTGTGGATGTAAGAAGGGTAACACGGGAGACAGAGAGCTGTGCACACTGTAATTCCCTCTTTCCTAAGCTCTTAATCAGGCAGAGGAATATTAATGTTTCTCTAGTAGAAGCTACATATTTTTAAATTACATTACAAACCCAGGCAATATGATAAAAAGAGTTCGATAAAAAAACAAAAGCAGCACTATATTACTTTCTTTTATAAGAGAACACACACATAATGGCACTTACTCTGTGCAAACTTTGGAGGATTGTCATTAACGTCAGTGAGAGTAATTGTCACAGTTGTAGTTCCAGAGAGTCCACCCATGTGTCCTCCCATGTCCTTTGCTTGGATGACCACGAAGTATTCTTCTTTGGCTTCTCTGTCCATGTTGGGAAGAGCTGTTTTAATTATAGCTACAATAACGGGGGGAAATAGTCAGGTACAGACCCAAATTCAGTTTTGCAGCTATTTTTATAGATATATGTAAATATTGGTATAAAATTGAACTTACAAAGGTCCAGTTAACTTGCCTCTTAGTACCAAGGATAAACAAGATTTTCAAATTTTCAAAAAAATATATTAGAGGTCACTTACCTCAATTTAATTAAAAGTGGAATGAAATTATGGTCCCAAACCCAAGAATTAGGCATACATGTTATAAATACTAATTTTTACTTTTTTTTTCCCCAATAACCTTTTTGGTTTCCCTCCTACCTCCCACAGAAATCCGTCATTTCCCCACAGAATTCACAAACAGAAGACAACCACACAGCAAACTTAATCCACAAACACTGCTAACTGTATCCATCAGATTCATTATTTCAAATTGTTTCTAGTATTTTGAAACCAAAGCCATTATTTAATCTGCTCTTGTATATACGGCAGGCTACAGTTGTTCCCTTAAGTCCTAAATTAAGTGCCTAAATTTTTACTGGGGATTGCCAGCACGTCTTTCAGTGTGTCCCCCACCACAGTCACCAGTCCTGCAAACTCCTAAAGCCACTCCGTTGTCCCCACTCTAGGAGGGTCACTTCTCCACCTGTAATGTGCTATTATATTCACAACATTCAGTATGGAAAGTGCAATGCTAAATGTTTAATTTCCTAAATGTAAGTTTAAATAATGTTCATCACAGTTTAGTAAGGTCCACCATAACAAAAGGAAGATAATAATCCAAAATCCTGCTACACTTAGGGAAAACAACTCTAAACATTAAATTGAAATATGGCAATTTTTTCCCTTTTAGACCTGCTTTTGAATTCTATTTTTTTAAAAAACCACCTGTCTGTGAAAAGAGAGCACAAAGGTCAAGCTACCGAGTTATCTTGGTGGTTAAGTGAACGTAAGAGTGCTGGGGGGCACTGGGTCTCCCACTGCAGTGGGTCCTTCAAACCATGGCGCTTGAGGGCTCCTACCAGGGATAAAGAGTAGTGTCCCTTTTCATGGCCCTGTACTTACAGAGCTCAAGGACACAGTTTAGGGGCAAGTCTTCAGAATTGATTAAAAAAAGAAGATAAGAATTCTCTATTGTTAAGATTTGCATGTTAAATAGAGGGGGCAACTTCACACCCAGGATCCCACATCCCTGTTGGGACTGGTCACATTTCACTGGCTCTCACACTGTTTGTGGGGCTTTTTTAACCTGTTGTTTGTTAAGTCTCGTCAGGAGTTTGTACATCTCAGTCAATACTTATTGCAAATCTATTAGCTTTGATTTCTCTATTTGGACTAACAGGGGATCAGTAAAACCCAGAAGATAATAAACATTTATCAGATGTGATATCCACAAAACACATTCAGAAAAAGAGTAGGGCCGTTTCCTCCATCGCAGCTTGTGTAAAGAGCGTAATTTATTTTTAAAAGCATTTGACAGTTGTGACTGGTTTGGACTGATTGGTTTACTATTTAGGAATAATAATGACGCTTTCTGCAAATAATTCCATTGTTATAAATGAGATGACTCATACAAAGGATGCTAATGAAAACTTGGGGTATCACAATTTGGTCCACGTTAATCTTTTTCACCAGTAGAACTGACCCAAGGATCAGAGAAACTTTATTTCAAGGGGTTTTGTATTAGGCCTACTATAATTTTTTCTCCACTGTTACTTTTCAGGCAGTTTCTTTGTTGCTTTGGGGTTTTTTTTAAACCTGATTTAGACAGTTAAGTCTAGCCTACAGATGACTTGTATAAGATGCCACATTTTGTATTTTTCAGTTTCCTCTGAGACAAGTTCATTATTTCAATAAAGTGATGATTTTTCCTAGATGTATTTTAGTTTGTCTCTGAATGTATGGAACAGTCTGGCCCTTGTCTAGGGTTTGAAAGATATCAGGAAGATAAATATACCTTGAAAAGTGCCTAAATCAGAATTACAGTTTCTGATTTTTAAGACATAAAAATTTGGGTGCTCTTCTGTATGAAGATACTAACACAACCTGTTATTTCAATAGTTTTATACGTATTTCTATCTATTGTCCCAGCCCATAAGACATTTGCGAGAAACTAAGAGTCAAAGTCAAGTTTCAAACACAATAAAATAAAAAAAGTTTACTGTTTGAATTACTACAAGGGGAGCTGAAGGTTTTTAAACATCAAATGTCTCCAACTTACACAGGCTGAATGTTACCAACAGTACTTCTATATTCCAAATCTACAGAATGGGGCTCAGAGAAAGAAAAGCGTCAGCATCTCTTATGTGGCAAATTAACGTACACAAAAAGGCTCCGTCCTCACCTAAGTAATACGATTGAGACAAAGAGAGTTATGCATAGAGAACTTAATGGATATTTATTTGCTCTTTTGCTTTATTCACCAGTTCTCAGGCTGGGCTCACAGGAAGTACTGAAACTTTCAATCTATTTTTAGAAAACCATTCAGGCTCACCAAATCCTAATACGCATACCGCACACAGAACATTAACTCATTGAGCCTTCAACCTGCTCTACTTCAATCCAACCCAGAAACAAATTGAGAATAAAAACATAATCACTTTCGGTGTGCTATGATGGATGAAAATGATATGTGCCAAACAGGAGAGCAGTTTAAAGACCAGGGATGAGAATTTCCGTAAACTAATGTAAGGCAGGGAGACGCTTGTTGGAAGAGTGTATTCAGAACAGTTATCAATGGCTTACTGTCAAAGCCCATAGATGGATGAAGTGGTTCAAAGGGTTTGTTCTACTTCTAGCATCATTTAATATTTCCTGAATGATGGACGACAGGAAGAACTTATCAAGCCTTTCAGATGACACAAAGTTGGGAGCCGCTGCAAGTACTGGAAGAACAGGATTCGAGTTCAAAAAAATTTTGACAAATTGGATAGTTTAAAAAAGCAGGATGCAACTCGATTTGGCAAGTTAAAAGTATTCTGTGTGGGTGAAACAATTAACTTTGTAATTACAATAGAGCAGATGACTCACAAGACAGAAAAGAATGTGGAGTCAAAATGAGTTGAATATGAGTCAACAGCATTTTGCTGATAAAAGTGCTCAGACATCGCCTGGCGTATTAGTGGTTGTTACATGGAATAACTGTGGACCAGTCCTTCCACATCACTCATACCAGTAAAGCACCAGCTGCAACGGCGTGTCCAGTTTAGAAAACAATTGGTTTCTACAGTTAGGGAAGTACAAGGAAAGACTTCACAGCCCAGTATGTAAAAATTACTGGGAGCTACTCTCCTTTTCCACTGGGGATAGGAGTAGAAATGATGGGCCTGAAGCATAAACCACAAAATGGGTTTAAATTGCAACAAGAGAGCTTTCAGTTAAACATTAGGGGAACACTTTCTAAAAGAGAAAGCAAGTACAGGCAGAAGCCTGTAGAATTTGTAGTATTTCCATTAGTGAAAATTTTTAAGAGAAATGGGAATGAGAAGGGATAAACCTGGTGCTTTTTTGGGGCAAGGGCGCTCACTGCATTCTCGCTTGAGGTCCCTTCCCTCCGTAACATCTAAGATAAGGCTTTATCTCTACGTACTCTGAAATATTTCACAACCCTTAGTCCTGTGGAAACATTCCATGGACATGCAGTACAACCACTGAGCAGATACCTGCATCCTAATTTGGCTACAGAACCTCGGACCAAAGCTCGAAACATCAGGAAGAGGGTTGGAAGGTAAAGAAAACAAGAAGTAACCTACGTCTTCCAAGAATGAAAACAGCCCCAATATTGGAAGTGCCTTTGTTTTTTTATTTTTTGGCTGAGTTGCTTTTCCTAAACAGCTATTGGTGTCACACTGCTCAATAGCAAATAAAACAGCTGCAAAATGGGGTTTACTTTTACAGTGGCCCTAAATGCACACACAGAGCAATTTGCACAATCTGCCTCACAACTTGAATCAGTTAAAATGCACCCCTGTGGGCTACTTTCAAAAACCTATTTGGAAGAATATACACTGTCTCGCACTGAAAAAGATCAGGGGAAAAGAAGCAATGTGTCAGAGGCTAGAGCTGATGAAGAGAAAGAAGAGAAGCAAAAGGAACAATAGAAATAAGGATTTGGTTTTCACTTTTCACTTTCCTCTCCGTTTTTTAAGGATCTCTTTATGCTATAAAACTACACATAATGGTAATTGAGAACATGGAACAAAACCAAGCAAGCACTACACAGAATTGGAATCTGGCCCTGAAAAGCCTTTCTTAAGCACCTCATTCATCTCACACATTTTGATGAAGACTTCCTGCTATTTCAACTTGCGCACTTTGGAACTTTCCCTTCTTCATTTTGGAAGAACTAAGTAATTGCTTTGATCTTCCTTCCGTGCTAAAATCTTGGTGGAGATTCTTATTAAATATAGCAGTCATTTAGGACCAAAACTCCTGAAAAATCAATCTTGTAATTTCTTCAGGGAGCCTTGAGATGCATTCTTTGTATTCCCATGAAGCACACTGACTTCAGTGAGGCTTTAGCAGCCCAGAAAAAAAGGTTCACTTGGAGATCTGTGGAAAACCCATACCACAATTCCTAAAAAATTAATAGATCATGACTAACTTTCTTGAAAATGAAAAAAGTCCTAGTACTTTGATGATGTTATACAGGCATAGCAATCCATTCTTTCTAATTCAATTTAGCCTTCATAAAAATCATGAAATTATCCACAAATATTCTAATTTCTTATTTAGTTCTAATGCCTTAGGATTTTTGTTTCAGCAAGACAAGAAAAATATCTTCAGTCTCTAGCAAAGTTGGGTAACGTTCTAGAAAAATTAGCAATTACAGAAGATGCCTGAACTACATTCAGCTGTAGATATATTTCAAATCAAAGACATTACCCACAGTAAAATAATCACTAGGTGAGGAATGGAATACAATGCTATACCATTTTACGTGTAGTGCTTCTGTGCCATTTTTGTATTTCTAAGATAAAAGGTAACAGTGCACAGATTTTATTACCATATTTATTTTCTA